TACAGACGTCCAGGTCAATGTTAAATCAGGTCCTTCAAAAATTCATACTTCATTCAACCAGACCGTCTATCCGTGGTAGATGGGTGTTTGCTAAGCTACCCTCTTTCACCAATCTTCAATATTTAGATAGACAGCTCAAACAATTTTAACGTTTAATTACCGTGAAATATTTAAACGTGGGTATATGCTGCTTTGTGCCCAAGATTTTCCTTTCTTCTACCGATGGTCATTAGCGTAGGTAATGTCAGGGTTACAGGATAAGGTTTTCTGCAATGAAAATATTCTTACGTTTTGAATTCAGGATTGAGATAGATCATTTTGATATTGAAAAAATTTCCAAAGTGGATTGACTCTGTACTTGTCACGCAATCTTGTCATCAACTGGATTATGTTTAGTTGATTTGCAAATCCAGCCTTATGTGGTTTAGAAAAATGACAGAAGATTATGAGAATGGAATATACAGGGTGTCCTAGAAGGCGACATAAAGCCGGAAACGGGGGATAGGCCCAGTCATAATAATTATCAGAATATAAAGAATCTAAGTTGTGTACTTTTCAAATTATAGGTACTAATAAATCGCAAAAATCGAAAAAGTCTACACCCTGTGATAATTTTTTAGTTACCAATACTATAAATTTAATTTTTTTTCTTATACGGAATGACGGACAGTTATTAATTCGTGAATGTATTTATTAAAGTCACAATAAATGTTCAAACTGCCTTCCTTGAGCAGCAATGCAGGCTTGACATTCTCTTAAAGATGATCGGGTTATCAGACCGGCAAATATTCCGTTATCAACAAATTCAGCTGCTTTCGTTAGTCTGTCCCGTAGGTCAGCTAAATTATAGATTGGCTTCGAGTAAAGTTTTATTCCTTCACCAATCCTCAGTAAAAAAAGACCAGTGGACTTATGTCAGGTGAACGGGCTGACCATGAAATTGTACTAGGCCGCTCTATCCATCTGCTCGGGTATTCCGCATCACGATATCCTCTCCCTCTGTAAATGCTTAGTAGCACGTCTCCTAATAAATTTGGTAAATGATTTTGTAAAAAGTAAATTTCGGCATTTAAGGACTCTGACAGCTCAATGGGTACAATGATTCTCCCATTTAGAATCCACGTCCACATGTTTCCTTTAAAACAATACTGTAATCTATTTTGTCTAATCAATTAAGGATTTTCTGGACGCCATTCGTGTAGGCTGTATATCTTTTTCAAGTGTCAACTCATCATAAAATTTTCCCTGAAAATGACGTTGTCTCTGTAACATTGTTTGACCCAACTCTTGGTAGATAATCCCGGATAGTAGAGATTTTACTTGCTGTATGTGGTACGCTGGAGATCGGTAGTTATACTTTTGGGCTTTCCCGTGCCTACTTCTAGTCACGTACTGAAGTAGTTGGGTCTTGTTCGATCGCTTGTGGCACAACATTCTCGTAAGGAAAATGAATTCTTCCTTTACCAAGCGCTTGATTGGGGAATCGTCCGTCTGAGAGTAAACGGTGCCCATTCTCAAAAACTCATTGATCGGGATGACGAGCACTTGGATACCTCTCACGATAAAGCCTAGCTGCAGCACTAGTATTGCATCTGCATTCCCGAAAAATGAGGTGCATGTTGGCCTATTCCTGTACGATGTAAACAGACATGGTGGCACTACACGATCGTTAAACTAAATATATATATATATATATATATATATATGAATCCCTATTTGGCGTGGTCACGCAATAACTTGAGAACGACCGACTTTACCAATTTCATTCATCTTTTCTTTTAAAGTTTCCTAATGCTGTATAGAAGGTAGTTACATCAAGGAAATTGTGCAGGAAATTCGGAAATCATTGAAAACCTAATGATTATTTAAGCTACGCGCGTTTGACAGCTTGCTTGGGCATGGAGCACGCACAGCAGAAGAACTATCCCAAGTACCAAAAACAGCTATTGACAGTTAGCTATGTGAGGGAAAATTGCTATAAAAACACGGTGCTCTCATTTTTGTACTTACATTTCTTTACCATCCGTAGTTAGTGATGGTCCCTTCAAAAGAAACTGAAGTGTTACTTAAAATCTTTGTCAGTTAACTCTATGAATAAAAATGGCGGATAAAAATACGTTTCTTTTGTACACGCACTTCGCTATACAATTATTTATACACATATTTCATATATTTTCCCTTTATTATTCATTATTCATTCCAGTTCATAGCTAAGGACGTATCGTTGGTCGTTCCTATAATATTGTAGGACGTCTTTATGTCCATCCTGATTTTAATAGTATTTTCTCTCCTCCAAAACGCTGTGGAATTCCTAGATTTCTACTGCTCCATCTCAACGTCAGCGCTCTCTTATTGTTAGGCTAGGTTATCTTTCTGAATTGTAGGAAATTTCAGGGTGATATAACATAACCTCAAAATAGAACGCTGACACGGAACAGTTGAAAGCGATACGGCCCTTAAGACAGGACAACGTCTATCGAGTCAGCCAGTTATTAATAAAAGTGGCGTTACAGATTGTATATTTTTCCGATTCTCTCCGAATAGTGATTCAGACGTGGTGATGATAGACAAGACTGACATTCACGTTTATATTTAGATTACAATGTCTAAGAGGCTTGTAATGTTACGGAGATCATAAACTTCTTAATATGTAGTAGAACATCTTTAACAGATACTGCAAATGCAGCATTCACATACACCTCCTACCCTCAATTTTAAGCTCCTCCAAAATATTTTTATTAATGATTGGCAGATCGGCCGTCAAAAGGCAAAGTTTGAGCGATTATTATGCTTTTTCGCTTTTTGCCCGAAGCGCCGCCGCCACTGGATAGACCAAAACCTTTATAGCTTGTTCGTCCCTGGTAACTTCTTGCCAAAATGTAATCAAAATCCAAGCTTTACTTTCATTGTTACAGAGGGCTCAAGTACTAGCTGACTGACCCACAGACAGACAGGCAGACAGACCGACCGGCAAACAGAACAAAATAAACTGGTATCACGATATATCCCATGCAATATCCAAAAACGTAAAACTTTATTTTCGAAATATGCATACCTATACCCAAGGTGTAAAAATAAGGAATGCCTAATGCCCTTGATCTCAAATGAAATTAATTGCTGGTCTTAATAAGGGTCGGGACCTCAGGAACTATAACAGACAGAAACATAGTTTGCTGCTTATGAAGTCATCGTCAATATTTATAAATACTCTTTTTTTAAAATATAGTTCACACGCATATGGATGAACTACGAATAGGATATAAGGTGAGTATTTCGCGTTCCCTTAAATATCAAATGAGACTGATTATTCACTTTACTTCGATTAGTATTCCAAATATAGAACGTTGTTGACAGGAGGCGTCGTGTTACCGAAAACCGAAACGTGTCATTAAACTTTAATAGACCTCAAAGTCAATTAGTACGAATAGTAGCAGCACAACCCAGCGTGTATAAGCTCCAAGCTTCAGAATTCCTCCCAAACAGCATTTCCTGTTCTGTCATAAATCATTACTACGTCTCTTCCAGATAATCATCCTTGTCATATCGCGGCATTCTACCCTGAAACCAGGGGCAGGGACACCCAATGAACGAGTGTCAGAATTTTTTGATTGTTGCGATATCAGGTGACATTGAGGCGTAACTGGAAGTGCATTTGTCAACATCAACAATAAATCATATCGATAGTCATTTTTGCTTTTACATTCGGGAAACACGTTTGGTAGTTCCAGGGTGACACTACAACCTTAGCAATTCACTGTACAGGGTATCCAAAAAGTCATGTATCAAACGAACGAGGTGATAAGGGGGTTATTTCCAATCAGAAAAACCATATGTTATATGTCCTTATCCGATTATGCACGATCTTTGAGTTATCACGATTATGAAGAAAAGGTGACTTTATCTTGTCAAAAATTATACAAGGAAAACCAAATTTGCTTGACGGCTTGAGCTTAACGTGTACGAGAGAGAAGCACATCCTGAGTTATTCTTACACTTTGCGACAGCGAGCATGCAGAAAATGTAACAAATACTATTACGTAATACAAACTATCACTGCTTGCGTGTGGGTAGATGAAAACAATTTCGAAACAGGACGACACTCTCCAATGAGCGTTAGATCGGCACTGACCAAAATCGCTCAACTATGATCAAAGAGGTGGAAACCTTGCCTAGGAATGTACGAGATGCGGTGCGATCCGGAATTGATCCTAAACTGATTCGACACAATTCAAAAATGTGTACGCTGAAAGTAAAATCATTATTTGGACGTAAAGAATAAACCAACGAATATTTTCAACATTCATATTAATTCTAGGAACTGACGTAACATATTGGCAACGTGGCACACTACCGCCTTAGCATTGCTAGGCAACGCGGTGATGCGCTTCGCCATCCAGTCGGCTATTATCTCGTTCTAGGACATGTGTCTATACACACTTCTATATCGTACACATTGAACTCAAGCCGTCAGACAAATTTGGTTTTCGGTGTATAGCACTCGAGCACTCACGTAAGTCTGTAGAAAAATTGTTAGGCAGATAAGCTGCCCAAAATTAGAAAAAACTTCTGATTGTCATTTCCTTTCAAAGTACCTTTTAAGTATTCGAATATCTTGAATTGCTTTTGCTGAAGATAGACTATATGCTGCAGGTCCCTTAGCCACATTCCCATTTTATAAACTTAATCCGACGACTTCTACTGTCAACCTTCTATATTCCGAAAAGGACAAGAAATCAGTTCAGGGATTGTAAGTCTTCAAACTTGAATGGATCCTAGCTCTAGCCTATCCAAGGGATGGCAGCTTTGGTATAATTTTCTGTAATAAAAAGAATTCAGAGACAGTGCCGTATTACCTGGACGTATAACCGCAATTATCAACGTTCGGTAATCAAAATATAATAAAGAGAAAGTGAATCCTTCAATATAATGGATAATTTCTTTGTATGCTTTTAATCATTTGTCCTCACTGCTCGATATTTATTGTGTTTATACATGTATTTCTAAAGACGGGTTTACACGGGTCAAGTAAACGGTCAAGTTGAGCAGTAAAGTCAAGTATTTTTTTCTACTTGCATTGTATGAACAATTTCGGTCAAGTAAAGTAGCGACTTGCGTCAAGTGACGAGGCAAGTCAAGTGGTTCTGCACGGTGAACAAGTAACTTTACTTGACTGCTACCCCCACTTCTACTTTATCATTGGATCGCCAACTTGACCGTCTACTTTACCAATGTAAACAGACAAAGCAACTAAGTAAACAAGTTCCTGCGCATGGAATGTGAATTTGTACTGTCTGGGGTTTTTCAGATTTCCTATCCATTTTGATCACAGATAACCAAATAATTTTGGTGATTTTGGTATACTACGAATTGTGAATTGAGGTTTAATTTGTACAAGATGAAGTGGTCAGAAGAAGAAACCATGCGTTTCGTTGAACTCTATAGTGAAAAAGAGTGTTTATCGAAGAAGAGTAGTGTAAATTATCGCAATAAAAACATGCGAAAAGCAGCTGAAGAGGACATCGTGAACAGGATGGGAAAGGAAGGTTTTGGAGTGACAGAATTAAAGCAAAAAATAAAGATAATGAGAACAACTTATAATCAGGAAGCGCTGAAAGTTAAAAAGTTTAAGAAATCAGGAGGTAAACCGGATGATATATACGTTCCAACTGTCAAGTGGTTCCGACAAATGGAAGAAATAATGGATAGCTCCACAGCTGAAAATGAAACGGAAAGCATAGTAAGTCAAAAGTGTATATTTTTTCTTTAATAACTGGTAATTAATTTATAAAATTGCGTTGCCAAGGCACTGCTCCTTCTTCCGAAATGAAATAATCCCTCATTTTGTTTCGCATGTGTTTTGCCATCTCCGACGCCCTCCTCTCAGTTCCCCCCTGTATGTTTCTCAGTTCTCGTATCTCTTGTCTCCACTGTCCAGGTATTATTTCGCCAGTGTGTTGGTTTTCACAATCAACCAATTGTGCATTATTGAAGTATTGATCTGGTGACGTTTTTCGTAGCCAGTTGTGAATTGCAATGGCAGCACTAACTAGTTTATTCACAGAGGACACTTTTATCTTTACTTTTGTTTCAAAAACACGAAATCTGCTTACTAAGATTCCAAAACCACGCTGAAGGAACCTTTATAGTTGAAGTATTCACTTCCAGTATGTGGGGGAGCCTCGATCAAGACATGTTTGCCATCAATGGCACCACAACAGAAAGGAAAATTCCATCTTGCTTCAAACCCATTCGCAACTTTCTTCCATGCATCATGTGTATCAGGAACCTAAAAAATGAACATTATGAGCATATAATTTGTATGATTAATTAATCATTGAGCAAATGAGAAGTATTAAATTAGTATTTCATTCATTTCAGGAGACAGAAATCGCTCCACCTAGCGAAAATGAACAAGGTCTGCTAGAGGAATAAGTCATTGAAGAACCATCTCCAACTCTCTTGCAAGCTCCTACAAGACCTTCGACCAGCAAAACATGCTCCCGAGTAGAATCGACCGGTAAGAAAGGTTCTCGAGTAGAAGCAGGATCAAAAAATAAAAAACCACGGCTACAAGCCTTAACTGAAGCTGTTGCAGAGGTCCGAAAAGCCCAGGAAACATTAATAACTTCTCAATCCATCAGTGACAATGAAGCTTTTGGCAAGTTTATTGCAGCCAGTTTAGATAAACTGCCCCCTGCTGATTCAATCATGGCGCAAGGTGCACTTCAAAGAGTGATACAAAAATATCGATTGAATGCGTTAAATAAGAGCAGTTCTGCTTCTGAGGCTTCCGCATTAACTGCAATTCAATCACCAACCCTTTCTAGGGATTCACCTCCTGCAACTACTCCTGCATACAGCACTGATCATCCGATTATGAACGAGGACACAGTTGCAAATGATGATGCTGCTATCGCAGATATTATCTCGCAAGCATGGAACTTGACAAACTAAAATGTTACAATTGGATTTGTTTGTTTTTTATTAAGAAGCCTAAATGAAAATTTAAAAAAATAAAAATTTAAAAATGTTCTATTATTATCTATTCACATACCTTTACGAAATCCTTTAAGCAGTCGTACACAGCTTGACAAACAATGGGAATCATGATAGATATCGCTGATTTAGAAACTCGGAAGAGATGAGAAAGGGTTCTATAATTATTACCAGTTGCTAGGTAATTTAAGGTTACTTCCAACATTGTTTCTGGTTTGATAGCGTCTCTCATAATAGTGTTCTCTCGTTGGATTAATGGAGTTATTAAGCCTAACAAATAGTCAAATTTTTCAGCAGTCATTCTGAGCATCATTCTGTATTCTTTAGGATCTTCAAACCTCAGCTCCCTTATTAAATTGGTGGAAGCCCCTTGACTTTCTCTACGTGTAAGCCATTCTCGACACCATATCCTTTTTTTAGGACTTCTTTCTTCCTCAAGAATTTCTTCCACTTCTTCCAGGAGAATATTTGTGAGATTAATAACGCAATTTCGTATGACAATACGACTTTCCACCATGTTTTACCTGTCGACTTGCTCATCTACTGGAATACGTGTAAACGCTCTTTCTGGATGATGTGGTGAATCAAGTAAAGTAGAATGCAACCACGCAAGTGCGAAGGCAAGTAGCTTGACCGATTACTTGACCCGTGTAAACCCGTCTTTTTACAGATTCTCCTACCGTTTTTTACATCAGCTTCAATAATGTTTTTCCGCTGGATGAACATTTCTTGTGATAAAAGCAGATCTATAGTCAACGCCAAACAAAGTGGCGTGCACGTCATCACGATAAAAATTCCCCGACCTAATGCCTAGGTTTCTATCACAAACAATTGCTCTATTGCAGTTTCATATTAATGTGATATATAAAGTGTAAAATGGTCATTACTCTCTTATTATGGTTAATAGTCATATAAACATTGTTATTAAAATATCACATAAGTTGCTTTCTGATAAATTTAGACGCATTATGCGAAATAAAATGTTTTGCAAACGCTCCAATCACTTATCGACATGTAAACGCACTAAACCGATTTCGCAGCGTTGACACATTGTCACCTTGAAACTTATTTAAACTGGGAACTGACATTTGTATTAATTTTGACAATTTGTGGCATTTCAAATCTTTATAAATCCTTTGGCCCCGCATACTGTAAATCAACAACTGTTTGTTTCAAAACAAAATTATTCATTTTACGAGTAGATAAAGGCAATTTTGGTATATAAAGATGCCCAAACAGTTAAATAGTCGGTGTAAGATCATCCTCGTTAATGCACTACTTTGAGCAAGAAAGGGACAACAACGGGCCTTTGTTGCCTTTAAATGCTGTTCAAGAGGTAGGTTACTAATAATTATATGTAATGTATATTAATAATAGTGAAATTTTATTTCATTTTTTGTAGCGTGTTGCTGCTGCTTTAAAAATTAGTTTAAGGACAGTTAGTCGTATTTCCGAGGGTGTGAAAAGTGATGCAAATTTAGAATCGCCCAAGAAAAAGCGGAGTTATATTAAACGTGTAACCAACACAGCGACATTGGATACAAGTGCCATTCGAGAAGTGATCTATAATATGTATCACAAAAGTAAGATCTTATTATAATAACTTATCAGAAATTTGCATTAATTTGTTAACTAAATTATAATGTCATATTACACATGGTTTCAGAAGAACAAGTTATGATACAAACTTTATGGTCTCGATTAAGAGATAGGGCATTATTTGATGGTAGTGCCACGTCTTTAAGGCGGTTGCTTAGAGATCTTGGATTTAAGTGGCTTAAGGACAATGCGCGACGAGGGCTCATGGAACTACCAAGTATAGCTTTGAAAAGGGTGGAATTTCTAAGGCAATACAATCAAGCCAAGGTTGAGGCCTTATACCAGTTTGTCTTCCTCGATGAAACTTGGATATTTCAAATGGGACCATAGGTCGCTCTTGGCAAAATGGAAACCAAAAAAGCGTGAAAGCTATTAAAACAGATGGTAAAAGGTATGTACTTTTACACAATTTGCACTATAAAATTTAAAACTAATATATTTTAGATACATTATATTACATGCTGGAAATGAAAATGGGTTTATTGAGGGTAGTGAAGCGATATTTTCTTCGAAAACAAAATTGAGCGATTACCATGGAGAGATGAACCAGGACAATTTTTTGAAATGGTTTCAACATCAGTTATTAGAAAAATTGGAGAGTCCATCTATGATTATACTGGATAACGCCCCTTATCACAGTATGATATTGAACAAAGTGCCCAACAATGCATGGACAAAAAAAATATCCAAGACTGGTTGACAAATCAAAACATACCATTTTTAAACACAATGTTTAAAACAGAGCTATTGAGTATTGTTGCTCGGTACATAATGCTTCTTAATTATATATATTTTGGTCGACAGTTTATATTTCTTTTGTTTATTCCTATTCTTAAAATAACTGCTTTTTTAGAAACAAACCACCTAAAATATACGTGATTGATGAATTGGCGGAACAACATGGGCACAAAGTTCTTCGTCTGCCTCCTTACCATTGTATATTTAACCCTATTGAGTTAATTTGGGGCATAGCAAAAGGTTACTATAACAGACATATTGGTAGAGATGGTAACAGTGAAAAAGACTGTTTGGATATGTGGAACGAGGCTCTACAAACGGTTACCCCAGACATGTGGAAAAATGGTGTTCGACATACTGAGCAAGAAATTTTTAAATGGTATGAAAGAGAACGAATTTTTGATCGACCAGACATCGAACCTTTAATAATCAACTTTGAGAGTGACGAAGATTCAGATTCAGACAGCGCTGAAGAAAGAAACTCCGACTAACTTTATTGTACAGAAAAAGCTTACACCAGTAGCTTACCTAATTTTAGAATGCATTTTTCTGTATGAATTCTGTAAAATAAATACCATGCATAAAATTTGGAGGACCCCATTTGGATTTTTATTCAGTACCTTTAAGCTATCAATTAAATATGGTAGTTTCATAGTGTCATCTGATCAATAATTGTCATACTTAATGATTATGCAAGTACAGATCTATAATTTTATTATACTATTATTTTTGTTCTCATTTGAGGTTAATATTGCTTATAAACCTAGATATGTAAATAATAAATTTTATTATTTTACAAAAAGTTTGGCAACAATGTAAATTTTTCAACACACCCACCTTGATGACGTGCACGCCACTTTGTTTGGCGTTGACTATATATCTATATATGCTTATCGTAACAGATTGAACACATTTGGATTATTACGCTGTACCTGTATTGTGATTTACGAGTAACTTGTTGGAATGTTACACACTTTCTTGTAATTGTAATGACATTTACGTATACCTATTTTTCCGGCATATTTGCTCAAACGCATATATGACCCTCAGTGTCATACTGACAAGTCTTACATCATGTAACATGATCTTATAGGACAATCAATGATCTATCCATTTAATAGATCTCATGAATCGTTGTTCAGAATAGGTGCGACATAATAAATATTCTGACGTGCATTGTGCGGAGGAGATCGGTCAAGCTGGAACTATGTTGTTGTCCGGCTAGCTAAAGGTATGTAATCTAACAGTCCTGAAAAATTATATACAGTAATGGACAAAAGTATATAGACGAATTATTATTGTGCTGTATTTCTTTTTTAACTTTTATTATTACACCAACCTGTATACGTAATTCGTTATAGCACAATACCCACTTATACATAAATAAATTCATTAGACTCCCTTCAATAAAAAATTATTTGAAAAAAAAACTGGAACTATGAAGGACAAAAATATATAGACAAACAGTTATAGAAAAAAGAAGCAAAATCATTGGATTATAGAAAACCAACCATGGTTGTGTTAATATTTTGTAGTATAACCATTATTATCAATCACCGCCTAGCATCGTCTCGGCATATATTGTAGAAGCTTCTTGATATAAGATTCATCAATCTGTCTCCACTTTTGCTCTAAAGCGGCAAAAAGTTCATCCTCGTTTGAATAAATTTTATCTCGTATTTGCTTGTCTAAGTATTCCCATAGATTTTCTTTGGGGTTTATATCGGGAGACTGTGAAGGCCATATGAGAACTGGTATTTTTTCATCCAGAAAGAATTTCTTTGCGAGATTTGAAGTGTGCTTCGGGTCATTATCTTGCTGGAAGAATGATCTTAAGGACAAACCCCGAAAAACACCACCAAACCATAACAGACCCGCCTCCATGTTTGACAGTAGGCAAAGTGTGCTTGGGGTTCAATCTTTGTCCACTAGGACGTCTAACGTAATGAACACCATCTGAACCAAACATACTGAACTTGGATTCGTCACTGAAACATACCCTCTTCCAGTCACAGATGCTCCAATCAAGATGCAACCGTGCAGATTGTATCGGTTCTTACTTAACACAATGATCTTAGTTTTCACATCGAAAGAAATTTGTGGGCCACGCGGCATGGTCTTAAAATCACTCAACTTATTCCACAATACTTGATGAACACAAACTAATCCTCTTCTGACACAAAACTGTACTCAACTAATGTTGAAAAGAATTTGTCTACATATTTTTGTCCCTCACAAAAAAGTGCTTATATTCAGACTTGTATTGTATTCATTGCAGATAATGTAAAAACAAGAAATTCAGTTTTTCTACTAATAACGCATTTGTTTATGGAGCAATGAAATATGAATTCGTTTTCTAAAGATATTTAAGTAAATATTCATATTTATCTATATACTTTTGTCCATTACTGTGAGTTGTTCTACAATTTTTTTCTGGCACCTCAGATATGTCAATGAATTTAATATTAACTAGCTAAGCTCATAATTTGACTCCGAACCGGTATTGGAAGCAATCCTGTCTCCTGCTCATTGATGGATTCTCTAAAGCCCAGTGATGTAAATTTTGAATGTTACAAATAAATGCTCTTCAAAAATTGTCTCTGTCCATCTATGACTTTTTT